TCATGTTAAAAAGACTACTATCAAGCTCTTCTACAACCAATAGTTCGTATTCATCAACAAGTAAGTTTTTGATCGGTCATAGTTGATGCTCGTTAGGGAAAGTAGAGGTGAACATTAACACACTCTAGGTAAAAGTGTTTCATATTGTTTTTATCCTTTGTTTTAGTCGTATCTACTCCAGAATCAAAAATCAGTACTATGAAAGGTATTCTAATACTTTTTTCCCTAAAGAAAAAAAAAATCGTATCGTTCGTACTTAGTTCCACTTATATCATTGTGTTCTGCAAACGCCACATGGAATAATAAGGCCGTTACAGTGGCTGGTTTTACTAACGAAACATACTCAGAGCCACTCGCTACTCTTTACTCTCCGAATGACTTATTTATTGATAGCATTGGCAATATGCATATTTTAGACAGTTTGAATTATCGAATCTTATATTGGCCTAACAACTCAACTGAAGGTCGTATAGTAGCTGGCACTGGTGAGCCTGGTTCGGATGCCGATCAATTGTTCTACGCCGTATCTTTTGCAGGTAATGATGAATGTTGTTTCTGTCAGCAGTTCTTCTCAGGAATAGATTTATTTCGTTTCTTTTCCTTTTTTTTCTTCTTGCCTAGTTGATTCTTCATTTTCCTATTTAGTTGGACAAGGTCAAATGTATGTATCGGATGTAGCCAACCAACGAGTGCAGGCATTTCCGTTCACGACATCGCCAGGCTCGCCTAATGCTACGACAATATTAGGACAGAATTTTGTCGGTAATGAGCGTAGTATGCCCATTATAGTGTTAGGTATGGCCTTCGCTTATAAGTCTGGATTATTATACTTGAATGACTACTTAAACCGCCGTTTATTAATCTTAAATATAAGTGACGACAATGTTCAGATTGTCGTTGACTCTGAACTATCCATAATGAATAGTTCGATTTCGTTGCACCCGACCGGCATTGTAATTGATGAAATAGCAAACACATTTTATGTGTCCGACGCCCTTTCAAATATTGTAGTAAAATTTCAAATCAACTCGACAATAGGTAACGTCGTCGCGGGTCGCTTAATCAGCAGCTCAATTTATAATCAGCTCAATCAGCCGATAGGCATGGCAATTGATTCATCAGGATATTTATACATTGCTGACTCAGGATATAACCGAGTTGTACAATTAATCAATGGCAATGGAGATTTACGTACGATTGCAGGTAAAGTTATGTGAACATTCTTCGCGTTTTCTCGTGAAGTTAATGCTATGAAATCTTTATTTCAATACTGTTATTATTTTTTAATAGGCGTGGGTTTCTTCGGTGCCACTGTAACACGTCTATTTGGTCCAACTATGATAAAATTCGATCAATACTATAATTTGTATGTTGCTGATAGCAATAACAATAGAATACAACGGTTCGATTTACTTGACAACGGCTGTTAGTGTAAAATATTGACAAAAAAGAAGAACTCAAATATTTCGCTTTCTTGTAAATGTTGTTCAGTGAATCATTGCCGCGTATAACTCTGAGAAAAAAAATATTCGTGTTTATCGCTTTATTTGTGCTTCACTCATAAATTAACTTTTTCGACGTTGCATCCAGAATTTTGTGATTGACTGTTAATTTCAAATCGGTCTTGCTCACTTAGAAGACCTAACGATTTTTGCTAAATATCGGCAAGTGTACCAACAGATATAAAGAAAATGTCAACCATGAGCGACATCTGATAAATTGGTTTGTGTACATTCGAAATAACGCACAAGATTTTGAGTGGTTCTTTTAATGATACTTAACTTACCTTACCCACTGTCTCATTCTTACTTATATTTCATAAAATATTTCGTCAAACGTACTTCCTATCGATAAATATACATGCAATTAGACTCACTGCCAAACGAATTGTTTTTGGATGTCTTCAAGCGTCTTTCGACTTCTGATCTTCTTCGAGCGTTTTCTCAACTCAACACTCGTTTCGATCGTCTCATTCGCAACCATCTACAAGATCATAAATGCATTGATCTTCATGCGACAGCAAAATATCATTTCGATCTTTTCTGGACACAACTTCTTCCACCATTGGTCACTCAAATTACTTCACTTACTTTGTCAAACGATATCAATACTCCAAATCAAATTCAACAATTCTATTCACATGGCTTCACTTTATGTCAATTTACTCGTTTGCAGACACTTTCACTATCTCATGTTCACTCAAGTGAAACAATGGACAAAGTATTAGAAGATTTGTCTCATCTGTTGACTCTATCTCATCTCACGTTTGATACATGTAACATCAATCATGATTGGTGGGTGAACATTGTTTGGAGTCTTCCTAAACTTGTTTATTTCTCCTTCATTCCACACTCTGCTTCACCAAAACATTTTTATACACCGCGGTTAATTTCGTCAACTATCAAATCTGTACATGGATTTTGTGATGAATATGTCACAAGTATAATCGACCTGACAAAACAGACACCACAACTTCGATACTTATCCATTAGGGCTGATAATCGTCCATCTTTTTCTGATCTATCAACACACTTCAACTCGATAACTAAATTGAATTTATCATTTGACATCTATGGATTCAATTCACTACTGAATATTTTACGTCGAATACCGAATGTAACACATCTCAAAGTTGACATGAGAAATCATTGTATCGATGCACAAATCTGGCAACGATTGATTCAGAAGCACATGACGAAACTGAAATATTTACAGTTTAGAACGACTTTCACAGTTCTTGCAGATAATATTATTATAGAACAAGAAGTTGAGAAAGTTGTTGACTCTTTCCGAAATCCATTCTGGCTTGATGAACATCGATGGTTTGTTCAATGTGATTGGAATCCACGTAGTAGAAAGTGTTACATCTACACTATACCATATACATTTGATAGTTTTAATATTGACTTTCAAATATACTCGAAATCTACGTGTGCACCTGATAATGCTGAGTGTCACTTCGAGCGTGTGCGCAGATTGACATTCAGTACCACTTCTCATACACTTCATGAATGCTTACCATTATCTCACATTCATTTTTCAAATATCGAACATCTTACCATCGATCTCTCGGGACAAAATCATTTTCTCTATAATAACGATCAATTTAACCCATTGGCTTATGCTGACGAAATGAACTGTCTCAATCTGTTGAAAGATGTATTAGAACGAAATAATCATTTAACTTCATTACATTTTCATAGATGGCCATCAGCTATTCTGAATTTATCTCAGTGTGATATTAAGAACGTGTTAATATTCGAATTGAATTTGAGGGGTGGTGCAGGTTATGACTTTTGTTATACTGCACAACAATGTGATCAAATTAGTCGTTCAACACTTGGTATGCAATGTCGAATTCTGACTATCGATGTCAAAGATTTGACGTGTGTTTACGATCTCATTATGAAAATGAACAATCTTCAAATACTTAATGTTCGATGTCGATATGATCAACCAAATTCAGGTGAAATCACAATAAAAGAAAACGTTAGGGAATGGCTACAAAATAATATACAGAGTGTATCGTCTTACACAAGAAATCCCAGCCGGAGTACGGTTGCAGAGGGAAGTCGTTTATATATTGAACGTTTATAATTATATATCGAAACTCTTCTTGAAATCTTAATTCATTTTTTTTCTTCTTTTCTTGCAATTTATTGAAATTTCCTTTCAGTTCTAGCTTTGACTATGAACGGATCATCATCTTAATCGATGAAATCAATACGCCTTTTCGAATCTGTTATCATTCAATAATTAAAATCTGAAATTCCTGTATGTACATGATTGATCATTGCAATGAAATATGACATTATCAAATCATATAAATCAGTCAAATACTCACATAATCATTTGACTATAAAAATCATTTAGACAATGTTTCACTCAGATCCAGACTCACACATACACACACCATCAATTGAAAAAAGATTATCATAAAATATTTCGAGTTTTTCTTTCTTTCCTTTTTAATTGTATTTGAAAATACATGTGGACAATAAAACGATAGAAAGTGCTGAACAAAGCCGTGAGGAAAGCTTATTGATGAGATAACATACTTTTCTTATAGTATTTAAGATACACAACAATCACATGTATTCCGTATGATATATATAACATTCAGTCTATCGTCAATAATAATAAGATCTACAGAGCTGATTGCCATCGGAATACTCTGAGAGGTAATTAAATATGCAATCTGTGATGAAAACATTCTATTACCAATACTAGTGAAATGATCTACATTGTACACAAAGTTAGTGCTGACAGCAAGAACCAATTGACCATCATTATTGAAATCATCAGCGACAATTACACTTGGATCATTAAAATCTCCAGTTACATAAGTTACTTTTTCTTGAAAACTACCCAAGGAGAAACAAACTGGTTTCTGATTTCTGGATTTCAAATTTTCTTTTTTTTTCTCCTTGATTAAACATCATTCTATCTTTCGTGGTAAATTGAAAAAAGCATCATGTTGTATCTGTATGTATCGATCTTCACATTCGATTTTATCCTTCTCGGTCTTATCTTTAATAGATTTTCGCATTACTATTTGGTATAATCTCCACATTTTATCTACAGAATAATATCTATCTTGGTAATTATTCCGTTGTCTTTGGTAAAATTGAAGAATACATCACTCATACAAGTCTTCAAATGACACGAGTTTTTCTTGCATTTGCCTATTTCGACCGTTATACTCTCACTCTAGATAGTGATTCTTTAAGAAAATTCGCAACAGTCATTCTTGCACGTCAGTTTGTTCTTACCGTAATTTTATAATGGTGTTTAATTGTCATTCATTTGTTTATTTATCTTAATGCTTTTAACCATTCGTGTGCAGTTCGAAACCATTGGATCAGCAGGTGATTGGAATACTTATTAATAGAATTGCGCTTTTACTTATTTATATTTATACTTTCATCAAAAGCTGTTCGGAGAGAATTCACTGGCGTACAAAATTTACTTCTATTGTATCGCGTTAGAAAGGCAACAGTATGGAACCACACACGGCTGCAAATGGAGAAACGAACACAAATGTAAATAGTAATCGAGCAATTTGACTGTGAAGTATATGGTGCTGTTCTATGAACATGTGAAATGTGTACAACAGAGAATGTAGGGAACGATTTACAAAAAATATCTTCAAGAATTAAATCAAAGGAAAACGTTACGGTTGGTCTAAATATAATGCATCTATGTATCTTTTCCCGATATTGACTGAGACTGATGCGCAAAAATGGATTATTCTCATCACATAAACTTTTGCGGTTCTAGATTCATATGGAATTAGAGTGGCTAGATCTTGTATACTTGATCATCCTCAACAATCCTATATCAATGATGAACAATTAAAATTTATTGTAAAATTATGCGAAGGCCATGATGATTTAATACGAGCACAGTTCCAATCTCGTCATTGAAATCGTAAACAATATGCCGCCACAATTCTTTTCAATGCACAAAATGCAAAACGTGTGACGGGAAGATTTTGTGCTCGTTCCATTAGTAGCCGCGAAGTTGGTATGTGTTCTCATACAACTGCACTACTATGGCATATGGGAGTAGATGGAGAAACTATTTCATCAACTCATCCATCATCTACTACGAAACTACTTGCCGCTATCGATAATAGCATGCTCTTCTCCGAACAAGAAGCCGATTCTGATGATTTCGTAATATCTTCAACTAAGAAAACTAGCGACGATGCCAATTAGTGATAGGTTCTTACTGAATCTTTTTTATATCAGACATCCGTATTTTTCATATTCTTTTTTCTTTCTTTAATTTTTTGCATTTCTATACCACAACGAAACATCTTTTCGCCTTATGCGACCTTTATCACGAATCTGAAGAACACACCTATTACCCTCTTTCATTTTCGTTTTACAAACTTTGAAAGCTTGCTTGATGTAATACACGACGCATATTTGATAAAATATAAAACAACTGAAGTTTGAAACAAGTAAGTCTTTCACAAAACGATAGTCTGTGCAATTCTGTACTGAAATACTCTCGAATAATTTCAAGCCTTTTATATTTTTCTCTAAGGAATTTTGAAATTTTAGCCCAAAAATCCCATGGACCTGATGATATTCCCAACTTTAGTATAAAAACATTCAATTCATTTATATCTATAATTTTCTGAACGAGATGGTCAAACTTTTAATTCAATTCAAAATCAAAAGAGGCGAAATCATGATCTTATATATAAGTCCCATCATTTCAAGTAGATTTATAAAGGAGAAAATATCGATATGTTCTCAGTTTTTCTAGGGTTTCCAGAGGGAAAACATGTGTGTAATGCGACGATCTTCATGATATGTTATGTCAGGATTTGGATCAATAATTCCATAGGCAAAGAGAACAACATTAATTCCCGACTAAAGAATAATATGAATGAAATACTACCAAACGAGAATAAAAATTCTCACTTGAATTGGAAGATCCATATTATCTTTTGTATCTAATGCTCGTTTAAATTGAATTGCTGTCCAATTGTTTTCTTCTTGACCTTGCAAGCCAAACCAATCTTGTGTTGTTGAGTCTTTAATTGGTAGTACAAAACCAGAACTGTGCCGATCCTTTTATTATTTATCAGAACAGAAAAAAAAATCCAAATACTTCAGCAACAATTGATTTTACTTCGAAATATAATTTTCCATTCGTATCGATCCAACCAATACCTATATCGACATTGTTAGTCACATCTTCTGCTACAAGGAAGATAAAGCAAGAAATACGAGTTCTGCGAAATACGTCCCAAACACAATTTTTTTTTGTATCAATCAAAATGAATATGAAATCGTACCTAAACCAATACCAAGAGCAATCCATCCAGTAGTTCTGACGTGTAATTCGAAGGTAATCTCCATTTGAACATCGTCTACTGTCCACCACAAATCAGCAACATTTTCGATGAGTTCAGTTTCATTACGATATGCGGCAAATGGTTGAATTGGACTCGATGTACATTCAATGATACTTGCAAATTGCAGGAAAACTATCGAAATTGAAACGAGTATTTTCTACACGACACCAAATTTAACTGTTAGTATAGTCATGTATTATTCAACTTACCATCGTATTTTTATCAAAGTATTTCAGGAATATTTTGGTCACAATACCGACGAGAATGTGAAGAAAAGGGCTTATCGTGCCATATTTGCATACCTCTGACATTATCAAATGGATTATCAGCGGGGTAAAATTGAAAAATCGAAGAATAAAATATTCAAAGAAAAACAAAGAAAGTAATCTTAATACTGAAGGTATAGAGATATTTGGAAGAATGAACCAAATTACAGTGAGAGTCTTGAGTTGTCTAGGATTATCTTTTAGTAACTTAAAAACGAGAAGCATCTTGTGGAGCAATTTGTCAACCATGAAAATCAGTAAACTGATGGGCTGTTTGAAAATTTTGCCCAGAATAGAGAACATCATTTTCTTAGTTCGTCAACTTCATTGCGAGATTCATGATCATATGAATACCAATTATCGACTGTTTTCTCATAAATTTATTCTATTCCAAGTCGTGTTGCACCTCGAAGCCAATGAATAGGTGATGAGTTGCCTGGCTCGACTTATAATATTGAAGAATATTTTTGTCCGTTTGATTGTTGCTTTGTTTAATATGAAAGATCATGCGATTGTTTGTAGATGTATCTCTTAACAGGATAGAATACGGTTTCCAAGTAACAGATATAGTAAAAATAGAATTATCTACTCGACTGGATTGAGAGATTGTTTTTCAAAGTTAATGTATGGAAACTTTTACTTTAGCATTAGGATGCCGAGAACATTTTTCTCATTCTTTTTTCGTCAAATGAAAGGTCTAATTGAACTATTCTCTAAGCCAAAAATCTGTGTACTTGTAGGTGAGAGAACATTCTACGCGACACGTTCCCCTTCACCTTCAAGATTCGTTGAATACTAGTTTTCAAGTATCAAATATACATATAAATTGTTCTTTCATATAATATTTATAAGATCAATAACGATATTTAAAGTATGCAGCAGTAACAACTCCAGTACAAGCGAGAAGAGCAATACATCCATACTGCGCAAGTAGTAGTCCAAAAATGAACATGTATAGAATCTTTTGACAATAGTTTTCCGTATTAGACGGATCAAATTGAACTTTCGCTTTCAGAGGAAATACCCATATACTTCCCTATGGAAAAAAACGAGGCAGCATTAATATTACCAGAAAATCTTACATTTCTTACCATTATTAACCATGCAAGAAAGAATAATATTAGTAAACATAGAAGACATGCACCGATGCCTCGCCCAATTTTTAATCTTTCAGAGCAACATCTGAACGTGATCAAAGCCTAAAGGAAAAAGACGTTTTCTGGTTGAATAAACAATCAGAGATTTTACTATAAAGAAAAGCAAAAGGAATGTACCGGCACCCACAACTCCAAAAATAAATAACCAGAAAGAAATCCGTGGCTCAATCGGACAATCCGCTTTGTATATTTGACTGAGAACAAGTGCAGCTACTGGTAACAGAGTGAATAAAATAAGTATAATGAGTATTGCTATCTTTTTCTTAGTGAAATAAATCTCATCTGAATCTGTCGATATATCTAGTGAATATTGTGGTGCATCACGTGTTTGCTTCAATGGTGGTGATTGATCTGGGATTGGTATTGTTTCAGTAGGACTATCGTCCTCATTGCATGGTTTTATTTCAAGCATTAATCCGTAGATCAGAACAGCAGATCTATTTTGTGTTTTCCATTCTAACTCTTCGTTCGGAATGTGAGGACATATTTCTATTTGTTTTGCTCGAGCACCAACTGTTTCTGGCTGAACAGTAATGGAGTCTGCTTTTTGTTTGCATTGCAATACTACTTTGATCGTGTACATTCGTGAATTATTAGGCGATTCAAACGTATATGTATGAGCATAATATTCAAGTGCTGCATAGGTTATCGAAGGAGTAGTAAACACGTAGTTCTCTCCAGGAATATGTCCTTCACGTATTTTTAATTTTTTTCCTGCCAAAGTCACATCGGAAGGTAGAAGTAATTGTCGATGTTCAACAGCAGATCTCGCATTTTCTATACTCGTTCCATGGTAACAATTAAGCCATGTCTTCCATACATTGTGGACCTGAGCGATTGGCTCGTCGACAGATACGGCAAAACGAGTCCATCCACGAGGAATAACATATTTATAGCCAGCGACAGTAAGCGTATCTGGAAGTGTAGATGAATAGCATCGCTTACAATAACATCGATCGTGAGCTTGCTGACGTAGAACAGAAGGCCAAGCGACACTTTGCAGATATTCGTGTCCAACGCGTAAATTTTCGCATTCCCTTGTTGCCATTTATACAATGAAAAAAGAATGGCGTGCTGTTTCATTAAATACTGTTTGCCAGAAGCAACACCTTGGTAAAAGCCAACTGCTTTAAAAATTGTTTGCTTTACGATTCTGCCACGAGAAATTTCGAAAGGAAAGAAGCGAGATAGTCTGAGACTGCATAATTCGACGATAAATACAAATATTTATTTAACAGTTAATGTGTTTACATACATTATAAAGAATCACACATGGACAATAATTCTGTATGAATGATTTTGGATTCGTTCGTTCTTATCTTGACTCATTCTAGAATAATTGTAAATGATGTATTCATCCATAAAACATAAAACGAGTCATATTCAATTTAAAAAAGCAAATTAATTAGATATTTTTATTCCTTCTCTTTTGTAATCGAATGAATTTCGTTTGTGGTACACTCAAACAAATTTCGGAAAGTGATAAACCCTGTCATGCATACCATTTGAGAAAACTAACATTCGATCTATGTTGCTCGATCCCGAAAAGCATGATATGCCATTGATTTCTGATCCTTTGGATAATAACAACAAGGAGCAAACATTTTATCTGTATAAGACTCTTTTCTGTAAGAACGATAATAAAATTAAAAAAGAACTTCATTTTTTGCTTCGAAGCTACTCAATAAATTTGCTATTTCAACATTGTCATGTAATCATATATTTCTATCTGTTTTTGTATACACACGTGTGCGATTGTTATTGTACAAAAACATCATACGCAATCAACGAAGACGCCACAAAAAACTAGTGTTCATTATTATAACAGTACAAATAGTCAAACCCAATTTAATAATCAATGTAGCTAACAGTAGCGTATCCAGGGGGAACGCAAATGAGCGATTGCCCATCAATTTTTTACTTTCATAGGTCGATCGTTTTAACTGCCGAAACCAAGACATGAAACTTTCCTGTAAATCCCTGCACACTTCTTCAGTGGATTTTGTCGGATCTGTCTTTGTGCCTTGTATTCCAACGAAAGTATATCACTCTTCTGTAAACGCCAACATACATGAAGTACTTTAAAGTACTTTGGATCATCTCCACCTTCTGCTGAAGCTCGACAATAAAAGCAAAACTCAGATTTCAAAATTCTACCTTTGGTTCTTCATTTTACGTTTGCCTCTGGCAATTGTTGAGGTTTCAGACTTATGATTCTCGCTGGGCGGAACTCGAGCGGTGTATAGAATCGTTCATTCTTCAATATTTTCTGGTGGCACCTTGTTGTTAGTGTGACTTTGATAGGTTCTGGTATAAACTTGAGTCATGTGCGAACGATTCTTGTAACTCTTCATAGATTTGACCTGACAGCGTGGTGAAAAAAGGTGTTGAAATTTTTGAATGAGTCGGATACCAGTACGATGACTTCGGAAGTAGTATTCCGTCGAAATACTTAAGGTTAGCCAAAAGTAATGTCGGAGATACCTGTAAGGATGAGAGTGCAAAGGTGTTGATGTGCATCGAGATTGTTGACAAATGGTAATAGTATCCTTTTGTACTTCAACCTAAAAAAATACGTTTAGGTATACAAAGATTATTTTGAAATGTGAATTTAATCTTATTTACCTTGTTTGCTGAAATCTTCCCTATGGTTTTTTTCTCAAATGGACTTCGCAAATAGCTTTATTTTGAATATCTCGTTGCCTTTGCTGCATTCAATTTCGTTCAAATATGAAATGTGAAGTGAGACTTATCTGAACAAGGTGATTTATTTCGCTGTAGTAGTCAAGAAAATAAGAAATCTCTAATAAGACGGGGACATTCTATTCATCAGACGATCCTAAAGATGTGGTCGTCATTTGAAATTATTTCGTCAATAGAACAAGGTGTCTGCTTCCTTTGAAGATATTTCTAGATTTTCTAATATAAAGAACACGAGAGAAAAATGGGATTTTTTTAAATATATGAAAACCTGAGACATGTCTTCCGCCTTTCTTCTCATGGAATAGAATAGAATAATTTCATAGCATTTAGTGACATCATGCGTCTGTAAAAATACAGAAGCATTTGGTAGAGGACAGAAAGAATAGATGGCAGAGGATCATGAATGAATGAATGACATTGCACATGCTTTATTTCACTTCCTCTTTTTTGTTAGCTGATAGGTTATGCATCTCCTTTCTTTTATTCAATTTGTTGGTATCATTAAAATTTTTGTCTAATTATTTCTAGGAATTGATGTTTTCATACTTAAACATTTTCATGACAATTCAAGAAAGTACTTACATATGAATAAATTCAAATAGTAAGTGTTTGTTCAAAAGAAAGAAGTAATACTCGTTTCAAATTCAATGTTTACAAGTCAAGTGTTGCTCATAGTTTAGTGCTCCGTATGCTGTTTCTAAATGTCTGTCTAGTTGACTCTAATATCTATAGATACAGCCCGGGAGAGATTTTTTTTTCTGTTAGAACTATTGTTGTGAGATCATTATATCCCTCCAGAGAGTATACGATTGTTAACCCAGAGTAATATGCATATTCTATTACCCTTTTTTTGCTTGCTGATGAACAGAAATGCATACTTTTAAGGAGATTTTTCTCCTGATTGAGGTTATCAAGAATAGTAGAATGATGCGAAGAGTTTTATAAATTTCTCTGATCGCTTTTTTGTTCTTTTGCTTATTAATACACGATGTCTCAAAACATTCACGCCTCCATTTCTGTTCTAAAATCAAATGATCTCCCTAAGAATTTCGCACCAAATTGGAACACGTCAGAGAATCCATGAGCGTGTGCGCAATTACGTAGTCATGATTAACAATGGAAGAAAGAAATAAAGAGAAGAAAAAGATGGAAACAATGCATGCATATGTTGCACGTAGAGATAAGAGAAGAATGGAGAAAAAGAGAATAAGTAGCCAGCAGCATTTTGTCTCGACTTGTTTTGTTTCTTTCCTTTCTTCAGTGTTCGTTGCTCGCAAAGAGAGCTTTTTCCGTTACGTTAACACTAGAACTAATAATCCTTATATGACGAGAGTTATTTCACATATTCAATCTTATCATTGTATAAGATCTTTTATTTACGTAATAGGAAATATTCCGTCTAATTAGGCTGATTGATGAAGTTTTTTTTATGGACTTCGATTTGATACAAATTTGTAAATGAAGTCACTTGACCATATGAGAGAATCAGGGGGTGTCAAACAGTTAGTCACAAGACAACTTGTCACGGTTAGTTCGCTGTTTCTTGAAAAAGGAAAAATCTATGTGCATAACGACATTATTCACGATGAATTATCTTAGTAACAGATTTATCATTTTGTAGAATTAATGACAGAGACAATGAACGCAACTGGAATGTCAAATGAAGAACCATTAATCACGACGACGGAAACTCACAAAAGGTATTTCCATTTTTTTTCGTATGAATAAATATAATGTTGATATTTTTCTTGAATTATCATCGAAATGTTTATCAAGCAGATGATCTAAGGTTGTTCTCTTGTTAAAAAGTTCTTCATGTAAGTTTCGACGAATCCACATGAGAAAATATTTCGTAATGTTATATAACAAAGTAGTCGTCTGAACTAAATCATTCGCCTGCAAGAGCTGCTTGTAAGTCTTCATTCGAAGAAAAAGAAAATCTCAAATCAACGGTGCGCTATTTAAGCTACGTGAACACCATAGTTTTATTATGTAAAAGTTGCTCGTTGTATTTAATGTTGTAGAGAATTGAATGGAATTCTTTGTTAATAAATGAGATATTAAAATCGTCATTCATATGTCATCGATTAGTTTAATAAATATGAATATTGGTTTGATTTAGAGATAGATGAGAGATATCTCAGCGAATCATTTACTTATCATGAGAACCTCAAACTGACGTACAATATTTATGTACAGCTCTTAATTCAATTTCGATTTCATATTCAATAATTTTTCTTCTTCTTTTTTTCCGTTTAGAGTCAACGAGGAGACCATAAATGCCTACAGAATCTTCAGCATTCTCTATGGTTTGGGTAAGTGATGTTCGATTTAAATTCAGCTGTTCGTCCGATCAGTTATCATAGACAGATAAATTTGTCTTTGGCCATTATATAAACGCGATAATTGTTTAGTTGTCTTCTTGGGTGGTGTGGCTTTTTCAGTTTCCTATGCTATCGTACAAGGAGAAAGAGCCGAAATTATCAAATTTTTGGCCAGGGTGAAGACACTGTTCTAAGAAGAACTAAAACTTCTTATTAACATCAATCTCATTTTATTGTAGAGCTACTTTATCTATCTATATTGGGTATCCATCATTTGGATTACATTCTGTATGATTGATATCCATCGATATCAACGTACTTCAAACAAATTAGATTCAAATCATATACATTTGACTTCCGATAATCATCTCAATCGAAACAAATGTAGATCAGCATCGACAGAAGCAAATAGAAAATCATCAAGGACCACTTATACTGATTTGCAAGCACCCCATGCGTCTCAAGAAGATCAATCAGATAATAGTGAAGATATAGCAACTTCTAATGACCATGGCAATAAATTAAACTCTTTGAAAGATCTATCGCATTTATCGTTGACAAAGAAATCATCAACAGATATAACAAAAAGTGTTCAGGATCATGAGAATACTCAAAATACAATCGAACAATGCGATCGAAAGGACCATATTGTTCAAAACACTATCGGCTACAATTATGATAAAAATTCTACTGTTGATGGTCTCTATACTCGCATAGGCATCGGAAGTAAGTGGAACAAAAAATAGGAGCCTCTAATATTTAACAAAGATGGGATCAGTTCGTATCCTTTCACATCGAATCGAACAGATGATTAAAACAGAATACCAGTATAGTTTTGTTTAAAGGTCAATGTTATCGATACTACAGAAACCGTATTATTTTTCAAATATTCATAGCTACTTGACTTTTTCTCGTTCTCATGGATCTCAAACCTTTAAAGTTTTTATCATGACTTAATCGGAATTTACAATGAAAAATTCGTACAGTATTTTCATTTTGTAAAGTAGTTTTCAATACTCTATCCAAACTTCATTCAATCTACAAGAAATTCGAATAATTTATCAATTCGTTCGTTTTAGTTTTTTGTCTTGGTACAGTGATTCATTCGGCTTTATCGATTCTAAGTAATCTGGAAAATCATTTGTGTATACGATGGATATCTGTCGTTGATAATTCTTCGCGATTACTCTTCAGCTTCACTCAATTCTTCTTTATTTTCAAACATTCGGACGTATGTTATTTTGAAATAATATAAGTTAAACATTGAGTATAATTCTTTAGCTCATCATTCGATCTCATCAAAAACTAGCCCGATTGGCAATCATGCATATAGTGGTTACTAATTTGTGTGTATGGTAAGTTTATTGTTACTTAAATAAGAGAGACTTTTTTCGTTGTCAGATTTCGATACGAACATAATGCTTGAAAATCAAAATTGTGAAATTTTTTAATCCGTTTTTTTTTGTAATTTCTCTCGAACTGACATGCGGATGTATCGATTGCAGCTAATTATAACGTATTTTAATAGGTTTCGCATGGTGGTCGTTGAAACTAAGTTGCAGATTTTGGAAATGAGAGAACACGGAGTGGGCCTATCACAGCACAGTAGTACTGTTAACCACTTGATTAATGGTTAGTATTTATTCTCATATTTCTTTTAATCGTCTTTAACAAATTTCTCCTAATTGAAGTAGTCAATCAAAGTACAATCTATCCTTCTCGTAATTTACTAAACTTCAATCGAGAATGTTTCAAGTTACGCGCCACCGGCTTACCAATTAGTACATTTATCTACGAAGGATATATGAAATTGACACCAATTCTATATCCATGTACAATCGAATTTAGTCTGATGTGTTTGACAGTAAGTTCTTCTAGCCTTTAAGCTCATTGTTATACATTCAAACTGATTCTATCTAGTTGTTCTGTCTGATTTGGAAAAATATCGATAAAACATTTCTTCATAAAATATCAGATAATGCATCGACAAAAAATGTTTTCATGGTTAATTGTCATGCATCGACAAAAGGTCTCTTTGCTGGATTGATTGTTTTCTCCTGTACAATGATTTCGATCATTCTTTATGGTGTTTTACGACACAAATCGGATGATTCTGTCCATCTGACACAAACTTCATTGGCTCATACGCGTTTCAATGCAAGTACAGCAACAATATCGGATCCCACATTCTACGCTAATGCCATTCTTGAAACTGGTAATCTGTGTCTATTGACGCTATCGTTATTCGCCACTGTATGGTCGTTAATCCGAGTTCGCAAATTGAACTATCATCGCACAAAATCACGTAAGAAAGAAAAATCGGCAAAAAGAAAAAGATGTTCTGATGTTATTTTGTCAAATAGGTTTCGACGATGTTCTTATGATTGTATCATTGACAGGCATCTATTTGTATTCGGTCTTCAGTGCTTTCGCTATCATAAGCAACTTGTCTTCATCAACATGGATTGCTCATGTCAAATTAACAGTAATTATTTTAGGTAGGATACATAATTTCGCCACAGAATTGATAGATTAATTACTGACTCATGATTTATAGAATTTGTCGAAGGTACTGTTCACACGTTGTTCATTCTTGTTGTGTTGCGCAAACGTCTGAGACCAACAAGTAAACATGAATATCCAGCACGTGAAATGATCGCTCTCTTAATTATACTTGATTTGAGTCTCTGGGTTCAGAAAACGACAACTACGACCAAGTTCGAAGCTAATACAACTCAGCTGAACTTCTACAATGTTATTCCGTGGTCGATCATTGCTGCAACTGCTACACCTCTTCAAATATTTTTTCGTTTTCATGCATCCGTCTGTCTTTCAAGTGTTTGGGGAGATATGTACAAATTACCGGTGTACGACCCAATGTCTTCTAATGAATTGTGATCTTTTATTTCGTAGTGCATGTTATTCTTTTTCGTAGCAGTCTTGTGAATCATACATGTATAGATATAGAATGAATTTTGTTGCCCATTTTTCAATACAAATGCAATGATAAGAAAGAACAGTTATTTTTTGCTTCGACTGTTCTATAAACAACGAGACAACATACATTTCATTTAGATTTCAAAAGAATCAAGCTTTTTCATTTTTATATCTCTTCTGCTATAAAAACTATAACGTTTTATCGTTTGTATGAGATTTCCAAGAATGATTTGTTTTCATAGGAAAGTCAAACAAAATGAAATAGCAGTATTATTATATGTCTTTTTAATCATGTTTCACGAATAATTATCTATATACACTCGAAGTGATTTGGTTTCTCGCTATTGTTTTCTTTTATTATACTTCTATACCTATTCTATTTTCTAATTTACTATGCACAGTGCGAAAGCTCAAAAGTACATGTCATGTTTTGGCATATTTTATCATACTGAGAAATCGTACATATCAAATCAAGTGACTTTCTAAACCATACTGATATATTTTAAAGTGAAAGAGTCTCCATGGATTCACTCTGTTTTTTTTTAGGTTTTTATTCAGTAACCACCAACGTTTCTTATCGTTATTAAACGAAAAATGGGTCAGGCACCTATGGTACAACAAGCTGCTATGATTATCAGACTGCCAATGACAGCGATCTTGTGTATTGACATCAAAGAGGTAATAGAAAAGTTCGAAAATCAGCCAGAACAACCACCACTAACTCCTCCAAGAAAATATGAATATTTTCCAGGATGTTGTTATTGATCAGGATATTGATAATTTAAAGCTCAATTGAAACATTCATCACATTGTCATCCCACTTTTCTCGAGTATTGTGAGATAGTGTACCACAATCGGCTATCTTCGTTCTTTCAGCAGAGACTAATGACTTTTTTCCCGAGACAAGTGAAGATGCACTGTTTTCAGGGGAAATGGATAAATTAATTAAATATTTGTTTGACGATATTGCTGATCGCCGATGTCAATAAACGATCAAAATTATATCGTTTTTTTGCATTTTTGAAAACACGTAATTCAATGACGTTGCTTATAATAATCCCTATAAAAAGCTGAACTATCTCCAATTTTTTTCACAAGCTGAATCAAACGGAAACCAAAGCAGCTGTAAATCGATCCAAAACTTACAATGACCTTTGTAAATAAATGTTCTTATCGAAGAAGTTTTGTAGTTATCCATTGTTTGAGAAATTCTCTTTTTTTTCAAACGCTAAATTCTCATGATTTTGATTATATTGAGATAAAATGAATACTAACAACAACAGGGATGAACGTTTATGCATATCTCGCAAAATAATTTCCGACTTCATTTATTATATTCATACATGACATGTTTACTTTTTTCAGTCAAGTAAAATCAAAAGAAAATGATATTTCTAGAGTAGTGCAAATGAGAGTCTAAAGTCTCTATGGAATCTCACGTTCATCTTCTGATGTTGATCTTCACGAGAATGTGCTTCGAGGTGTTATCGGAAATATATTAGTTATAACAACAGCCTGCGCTGAGTTATCTGTTTTATGAACAGGCCGACTAAGACTTCGCGATCTATTCTGTATGTTGAGTTGATTGTTTCGATCTTGTCGAGAATATTTATGTACACACCTTCGACAGATGATTCCGCCCATACAATTATGTAACGCGATAGCATCGAAATTTACCATTTGGTCACATACCGCACAAGAGTGTGATGCTTGATGTAATATTTCAGAATTCATCATGATTTGACAAGAGTCAGGTGATGAGACTGTACAGATATTTGTCATCGGTTTACCATTGTTAATAAATGCAGAAATGAAACGTTTTTGTTGCACATAAGCTACTCGCAGATCATTTAGACTTTGCTGAGTGTGATTTAGCTTGGCTTTAACTTGTTCAAATTTTAGTTGATTTTCTGTTCGTAGTTGTTCAATAACTGGACGTAATTGTTGAAAAATACACGTTTGAAGATGATTTTGAAGTTCTCTACGCTTTCCTACCCATTTGCATTTAAGATCATAAGCTAAGCAATTAACCAAGACATTTGGACATCGTTTCAAATGAGCTTCCTTGTCACTAGGTTGAATATTTGTTTCATTACATCGACGACACTTGAGACGAAGATCATCAAGCATATCAAGTATAATACGAGATTGATTTGGATTTAAATCATTGACACGGCATGGCCGTCGACATATTGGGCAATTTAGATTTGTTTTGAGCCATTGTACAATGCAAGTTCTGCAAAAATCATGACGGCAAGTTTTTATAAAGACTGGATCTTGAAAGGCTTCTTTACATATTGAACATTTCAGTCGATTGTCTATAACTGATTCATTGGTATACTCAAAGTTATTTGTTCTGAATCGATTTGCATCTAAAATCTTTGTCATTTCCGATGTTTTCTCAATCTTATTCATCACTCGCAAACATAAATGTAAATTTTATGGAGAAATTTTATTTTCTAAAGCACTATTTTATGTTAAAGTGAGATTTTTTTGTTGGGAAAATTTCCCGTCACTTGGGAAAAACCATTTTCTCGAAACTTACAATACTACACTGTGACAAGGTTTTTTTTCCAACCAATACTGATGTGCACAAGAGCCCTCCGACAGAAATTCATTTTCTTACCTTTTCTGAAATAGTTTACGGCTCAACCATATTTACATGTCAAGTAATAAAATGTTCTTCGAATAGCAAAGATTTCTAAATTTGAATGGTTACTATGGAGCATCAATGGAGTTCTTTGTCCTTTTCTCATGAAAAAAGCAATCAAGGATTCACAACACAGGTTACCTTGATGGATGAGTAATATGAAATATGTTTAAAAATTAAAATCTTCTTGCAAAGAAAGACATACGAACAATTTTTGTTCTGAACTTATCAATTTAAGTGTTATCATACGTAACTGACTCCATTAATAACCATGCCATTGTTAGTGCCCGCAGGTTTAACAAACAGTAATGTATCAGATTTTGAAACACACCACGACGAAAATCCGACATAGGATTACGAATTTCTACCAAGCATGACAATATATTTTGTTTCTCAAACTAAAATCAGTTGTAACCAGATCGTGACCGAGTTGGCCAAGAGAAAACGAATTGGTTTCTGGATTTCAAGTGATTTCTCCGCTGGAATCCAGTTTTTCCTCCGTGGTCGCAATTTGGATTACAATGGTTAAATAGTGAAGATGCACCTAATGTTAATCGAAGAACTTAACAGATTTCAGAAAGCAACGTGTATCAACAGGAACGTGTTTGACATTTTTTCATTCATCCCTATACATATCTTGTTGTGCTTATCTAAATCTTATGTACTCATCTGTGCGCGACTTCAACTTTTAGTTGTATTTCTTTCTAGGTGATATATAAGTAACTCTGGAATAGGAAACGTAAGCGATACCGACTTCCAGCACTATTATAACCCAAAATACTTGGTCATCGATTGCACATCTATTTGAATAGACGACTTTATTGCGAATTTGTAGTAGCTCATTCTTCTTCTTCTTCATATGTTAGAAAAACGGAAAATTTTTAAAAAAGAGAGCTTTTATTTCGATAATCAAGAATTATTTTGCCACTGTGAGAACTTTTAAAAATTTTATTAGTCGATTCTGTGTCTTTATGAATGATTTGAATACGAAAATAATGTGCCATCAAAATATGGTAGCCGCGACAACACCTCATATCCTTTGCATGCATCTATATTCCCATGCGCTCACTCATCGTTATGTATTATTTCGAAGTTTTCCCAATGAAAAGTCAATATCAAAACTCTCCTGAAAGCCGAACAAATCAAATATTTGGTTGAATTCTTCAAAAAACAATGTCGTACAAATCCTGATAGAAACATATTATTCAACATTTCGAAGTAATATCAATGAATCAAACATAAGAAGCAGAAATTCTTTCCAGTGCCGATAATTATTTTCGTTTTCAAATCTTTAAAAGTAAATTTCATATGAAAGGAGGATAAAAATATGGTTCCCTAAGAATTTCAGCTGACCGATAGAATCAACAAAACTCAAATTCTTTTTATTGATATCAATACGAAACAGAAACACGCGCCCACGGAAAAATCTATGATAAATAAATACAAGATTGAATCGATCAATTATATTAAAAGATGATACGAAAGTTAAAAATAGTTTTGAGGGTGAGGGAATATGTAAACTCTGGATTTTGTTACGATAAAATTGTAATCGAAAAAGGAAAAGACAATGCATTTTCACATACAATATGGATCGTTTTGGTGATATTGACGTTGAATATAACCCATTGATACCTCTGAATCTCCATGATTTTCACAGTCAGTTATTTGTTTCAATAGAAGAGATTCTTCTATTGATTGAAATTCATATTGCGAATTTATCATCACATATTCAAACAGTTATAACTCGTTATAATATGATTTTCCTGTGAATATCTATTGATAGTTTCAAACAATAATTCATTCAAACGGCTATCAATCAAATTTCTGGAATAATTTCTTATGAATAGTGGGAAAACTGGTCGAAAATACATATCTACAAATCAAATCAAGGAATTCTTATGATGATGAAGGTAGTAAAAATTGCTGTGCTTTCCTTGGATATCTTATGAAGACACATCGCGCGTTGATTTTAATTTGATTCAGTAAAAGTTGGTAAGACATACTGTTTTTTTATGAAAATATACGATTCTGGAGGCAAACGAAGGATGAGCTATGTCAAATTAATAATAATAATCTGTAAAAGAATTCGTAACGAAAAATTAAATAAAACCGATGTGTATGTGTACTTTCATGGCTATTTTTATTTTCGAGAAATTTTATTTCTTATTTCATGTATAAATATTTAACGATTGGCAAAACGCTAGTGAACTAGAGAGAAGATAATCAAAATATTAATTTTCAATAACTAGTTATGAAATTTCCATATGAAATAGTGTGTTTTATACTGACATATCACTGCATTACAATATTCATCCTTCTAACATGATCGCTTACACTTTGCATTCGGACATCGCTTGATGGCTAGATTACTCGCAACAAAACTTAGAATTTATTCACTTATTTGTCCATATGTTGTCAATCGTCATCGGCACTTCCAGTATTTAGTAACGCAGTAAGCCTTTCCTGAATTCTGAATACGAAATAATAGAATTAAGACAACAAAATGTAAGAAATGAATGTCGTTTTATATATGTTATCATACTTAGCGATTGACTATGTACTTATTTTCGATGGGAAAGAATCGAGTATGTGATGATCAATGCTCATGTTTAAAATTTTGAAACATAAGTCTATACTCATAGTTCTACCGGAATTGTCACCTTTACTAGATATGAATTGTTGTTATGCTTTTGTAGTTCCACGCAATTGATTTTGCTCACATGTCCAATGAGTATGATATTCAACTTCAATTTTCACAACACAATATATTTTGGAGCAATGATCAGATTTAAAATACAAAGAATTTTTCTACTTAAGAAATAAATCTATATCGGCATCTACATGAACTTTGAACGATTCATTGACTAACTGTTTCATGCCATTTGGGCCTGATATGGTTTCGATACCACGAAGTAGTAATGCACTGTTATAATCATGTTGTGGACATTCAGTATTCACTACTCTACCAAAAAATGAACCTAGCAAATATGTTTGTATACATCTTGAGGATGGGAGTGCAATTATGAGGGTAAAGCCACGTTAAAACATTCCTTAATTTGCAGCCGGTATGTTCGCTAGTTATTAATGTGTCGTCTAGAAAACATATCTTTTCTCACTGAGAATTGAAATAAGTTACTTATCAAAGATTCTTTTTTTATTTAAATTTGTATTTAGTAACTCGCTCAGAGAATATTCAGGTTTTTATTAAACATTTAGATATTTGTACTTAAAATCTAAACAGACGCTATTGGACATTAACTAACGCATTAATGTGTTCGTGACTATTGAATACTAATTCCATTAAAAATTTCCTTCATATCGAAGTGAATGTGGAACACTAAATTACCCGTTTGTAATTTGATCTATTTTGAGGAACTTTATAAAAGAAGTTATTTGCTAATGACATTAATTTCCAACCACTAATTGCAGGCACAAGGGATTCTTAATGTATACCGAAAAGATTTGACTTATATTACTATGACCTAGTTAGTGCTGTTAAAACAACGGGTCGACACTATTAATTAAGTTTCATTAAATAAAATCGTTCGTGTTTACCTGTGATAGTTTCTGTTACCTTGTAATTATAATAGATTTCTTGCTGTTAAAAATATTGATTCTAATGAAATTGCGTACAAATTATATAAAAACGCGCTCGAATAGTTCCATTTGATAAACGTACGCCGGACAGTAGTAGCAAGATACTTGAAAATTTTTCCTGCAATCAATATTTCGATCAATATCTACAGAATTCAATAAAGAAAATGTTTTGCAAGTCGTAAATAATTCATCATCCATTTTCTTCCGTTCTTTTTCCGTCATAAATAGATTAAGTTGTATTTCTTAGTTATTCTTTTAAAATTATCACTGTTTTCACATGAAATCATCTAAATAAAGTGTGCAATTTGAGAAAGGATTCGCAAAGTCAAAAGCTGACTTCATCATCTGCTAATGGACAGTTACAATAAGCTTTATTCTGTCCCAGTACCGAGCTTTGATGAGCCATGTTCGACAAAACAATATTATTCCAAGCAGTTTCAAAAGCTACCCAGTGTCCACTTCATTGTCTCAATAAAATTTTCATCGAGACCGTTTCGGTCAGCAACTAGAGAAGTTCTGTAGAATATTCAAAATATTAATATAAAAGTGATACTGCGTGTTCTACATAATATTCATTCAGCTTCCGGTCTCCCCAGGTCAACAAATCCGATCGGATTCCTGGAAACGGAATTACATTGGAATCCGACTGAAAAAGTTCCGTCGGTTGTTGCAAATTTTATGAGTGATCTTTCTAGCTATGTTCTATGATGACCCTTAGAAAATCTGGAAAATTCATGTTTCGGATCCGATGGGGTCCGAGTATGGGATCGCTCGACCTGGGTCTAACAATACAAAAAGAAAATGCTATTTGATGAGAAAGTTTCCTTTTAACTTTTTACGACCGACTGCTCGTTATAGAGAACATCATATTAATTCCTATATAATGAAAGAATAACGTCTTATTCGCGAAAACTATTGTTTTTCAAATGAAGACAGTTTAGATGAAAGTAAGATGGAGAGAACAACCTGCTAAGATCGTCATTAAATGTGTGAAAATTGTTAACGAAATTTCTACTTTGCTAAGCATAGTGCGTTGGCAATAAGTCACTATTTTCTGCGTATTCAATAGGAATTTTGAATGATGTCGTTAGAAATTGTCTTAAGCTAGAGCGTGAAACAACTTTGTAGATTTTAACCTTATCTAAAACATATTCTAGTGTCATTAAAAACTGTTATTTTTTGGCATAGTAACAGCGGCTACTTTGACTTTTTCCTTTCATAAATAATTAAAGGCGCTTCAAAAAAAACATCAGAGTAAGTTCGCAGTGAACCCGAGCCGCATTACCGAGCCTCCAAGCGGAAAACTGTAAAGATCATACTTCACCTGGATGAAAAAATTAGTTGATCCCATCCGGCGGTTCTGACCATCCTGTTAGTATATAAAGAGTCCATAATATCTGCTAATATGGTTACTTTCTCCCTGCACTCAAAAACACCCACCCACACCCTCACTCTCTTCGAGTCTATTTCCATACAGCATCATTATAAGTCATATATTTTGTAGCAATAGTACGTTTATTCAAACTTCCTTGAACTAGTCCTATTAATGACGTTTGATATTGTTGATGATGATGAACGGAGAAAGTTATTTCTTTTATATTACTTATAATCACGTCAAATGCATTCGTGAAAGTGTAATAATGTCTCAGAATTCTGGAATCGATCGAAATTCGGTATCTATTCATTTAATTTCGAAATTGATGCATTGATAGAATTCAGAGATTTCATCGAAAAAGATTCACCGATGTTCTAAATCGCAAACAGAAAGTATTCTTTCGAAACAGATGTGTTCATACGCTCATGTTTGCGTTTATTGTGCGCTTCATCACACCTGTTCGTCAGAGAAAATAACCGGACGTTGCGATACAATAGAATTTAATCAGTGTGAGCGCGCTACAGCAAAAAAAGAGAAAGTCTTACTCGCAAATCTCTTGCCTTTTTTTTAAGAAAAAAGAAACTCTGACAATCCGCCCACATGAAATAGATCGTAGAAACAATATTTTATCTTTCAACTAAAATTAGATATAGATTCATACAAAAGACTAGAATGACTTAGAAATCTTCAGGTGATTGTGACGATCTTTTTCGCATGCGTTGTACGCATGCTATTTGTCCCTACTTCGGTGCATTTTTGTGTAATTTGACATTATCCTTCCTCCCTTCCTTTTTATCAAGAGAAGGATATATAAACGTGTGTTCTGTATTATAATGATGCGATTGATGATAGGAAGAAATAAAGAAAGACATGATTCCATCAGGATACACATCTCTTCCATCAGAATTCGTCACGAGAATAAATGACATCCTAACTTAGTCAACAAGCTTTCCAATAGGTAAGATGAATTGTTCAACTCATCCCATATCTATTTAATATAGCATAAGTGTTCGATTTGTTGCTTGGGGCAAGGTTATAACGATGATAATGCAGTCCTTTGCTGAGCATTTTAAATATAAAAGCCGCGCCATTTTTCTCATGCGAAGTGAAGACAGGACTCGTTACTTTGTTTATGAGTATAATAAGATTAAAACTTTGAATTTTATGTTTGTTACAAATGTCTAGCAATCTACTAGAAATCTAGTTAAAAATTTGCAACTCCAGACTAGTAAAACACAAATACAAATGTATTTAGATTTTTCTCAGCTGCATAGCGATCTATTCCTATTAATAATGTAGAATATTCTTTTTCATTGGCAGTAATTGACAACTGTTAATGGACAATGAGCATAAAGTTATTAGTTCATTGATACTTATTCAAATCAAAAGAAAGACTTATGCAATAAATATCACTAAATAATATACGAGTAAGAACACAATAAAGCCAAAATAGTAATATCAAGATATGACTTTTGTTTTGATCTCTCTCACTTCGATATTATTCTACTTAGTTTTTCTTATTGCTATTAATCTACAAGTCTTTCATCTCCTAACTAATTATTCATTCTTTTTATTATTATTTTTTCTATTTCTCCTTCATTCTCTGTACTTCCTCTGTTTCATTTCATCGTTACGGATAGAAGATCGAAATCAAACAGCATAGAACATAAGAAATAGATAAACTGACATCTACGTAAATTGGAATACACTCACAATTAATAAAGTTATCTCAGATATAATAAGGATTTGTGACACCTGATCGGACCACCCGCTTTTATGTAACACTGCTCTAATTTAGTGCTAATCAAATTGCCAGATCGCATAGTAACGCAGGAATGATTTCTTAGCTATACTTCAATAAGATATAAGACTAAATTAATGATATGAACAGATAGATGTATGAATAAAGGAACGGACACTTCTCAGTCTCTAAATGCCAAACATAATCTATCGCCATATATAATCTCCGTAATTCTATGTCTTCACAGAGATTCTAACATGATGAATATTTTTCTCTCCGTAACTAAGTGTTAGTTTCGATTATAACGCATCTGACATAAAAGTTTACGTGGATCATTCAGTCATTCTCTCCTGTCAGGATTCAAGGGTGTTATTTTAATGAATGAACTATTTTGTTTTACAATCTACCTTTTATCTAGAACATATACAGCTAAAGAAAATGAATACAACTGCAACATCAACTACAACTGAGATTCCTAATGGCTTTTCCGTTGGAACTTCAGCTCCTTCAAGAATGATCACATACGTTGTTCTTCAATTATGTCAACTCCTCTCTTTACCTGCTTATGGATTCGTTGGATTTCATCTTCTTAGTAGTCAAAATCTGCAACAAATGTTGAACAACCATGCTATCTTAATTCTCTTATTAATTAACTTTATTGTACTTACCATTGATTTATCTTTCGTTTTGAATTTCCTTCGAACAGGTGTTACTTCTCCATCGACAAATGCCACATGCATCATTTGGATCTTTATTGACATCTGCATGTATAACGGCAGTAATCTGCTTATGTGTTGGGTGTCTATTGAACGGCACTTACTGACATTTCATGCAAATTGGTTAAATACAAGGAAATGTCGATTCTTTTTACATTATTTACCTCTTGGCTGTATTATTGGATACATATTTATATACTACATCTATGTCGTATTCTTTTATCCATGTGAAAATAGTTTCAATTTTACGTATGCCTTTTGTGGTTATCCATGTTATGTTTTGCAACCTGCACCAAGTCTTTTTAACATTGAAACGTTAGTTCATCAAGTGGCATCATGCTTCGTTATTGGAGGATTCAGCATCGCTCTTTTGATTCGCACTTTAGTGAGAAAATGCCCATGTCGCCTCTTTTTCTAGGACTGCGTCGCATTTGCGCGCAGTGGCCTTTTTGCGGCACAATTGCGCGTAACTGCGCCGCAGTGGTCGCAGTCAGAGCCACGTCAAGAATACTGCGCTTACTGCGTCGCAGTTGTGCGCATTTGCGACGCAGTTACCGCATTTGTCTAACTCATCTATTGGACGGTTTTGAATAATAACCGTTAGTGCTAGTAATCGAGTATNGTTTTTCAAAGTTAATGTATGGAAACTTTTACTTTAGCATTAGGATGCCGAGAACTTTTTTCTCGTTCTTTTTTCGTCAAATGAAAGGTCTAATTGAACCATCCTCTAAGCCAAAAATCTGTGTACTTGTAGGTGAGACAACATTCTACGCGACACGTTCCCCTTCACCTTCAAGATGGTTTTGGGAGTATGTCGCCAATATCGTATTCTTTTTTAGTAGGACTTCTTATTTACCGTTCCAACTGGATTATCAAAAACAAGCTGGGATTTATCGATGTTTCCATAGTATTATTCCTGTCCTTTATGATGCCATTCTCAAAATGGAATTGGTTATCTGAACCTTTGGTAGTACTATTTTACTTTCCCTTGCTGATCGCTTTGGACTGTGTTGACACCCAGCTTACGAAAGGTTTGCATATTTTTGGGAGAAATCTCTTACTCATTATACATGACACATTATGCCGTGTTATGGATGTTTGGTGATTATTACACCAGTCATAAACCGCGCACTACACAATTGGCTGTCATCATCATAACCGAACTGGTCTTATTGGTTGGAGCAGCGCACTTCGTAATGATAATTTATGATACTCCTGTGAGGACATACTTAAGCAATTAACGAAGTGAAAGGCTTGCCAAACAAGAAATCGGTGATACTTAAAGCGTCGAGTTTTTTTTAGTAACATGATGGTTTTCAGAAATCAAACCTGACGGATACTTGTTAAACGATTGTTTAGAAAAATTAAACGGTGAAACCTCTCACAGTGGACACCATCGCGCTTTTTCAAAGTGTCCACTGTATTTGTCTTATTTTCTTTTTGTCTTTGCTACACAATCGTCAAAAAGAGACTTAATATGATTCCTATTAGGAATGAAGTTTATTGTATACCAAATTTTCATACATAGAAGTAATTTTAATAGGAAGAATTATAGATGAAGAAAAGCAAGAAAGCGATACATAAAAACGCTCGGGACCTTACGTAGTCAGCAGAATACTTCGGAAAAATTCACGATGAAAAACTGAACAGTTCTATTTCAGAAAATTGAACACAGTCTACTGGGGCTCGTGAATGAAGGACTAGAAAACGATAGCTTTTGTATTCGATTGTATTATTCAAATACTGCATTAGACCGCACTGTTTTCGACCAGGATCTATATCAAGCCCACTACTACCATTATAAAGTAGAGTCCAACTGCTACCAAGAATGAGATCATCTTCTGATTGATTACTGCCTTCTAACGAGACAACAATTGGGTCGCGTGGTGCAAAATCATTTCCTGTCCAAAGTCGCAATCCATTGACTATTGTTGGGCCCTGTTCTAATTCAAGATAGAAGCCAGTATTTATAGCACAGTTTGAAAAACGTCCTCCTTCATTGCACCATCCAAAACTATTATACTTAGTATCAATATCGCCATCACATGCTTTCTCTGGAGATTCCTCTGGTAAATATTGTCCACTCCAATGATTACCAGGTTTTGATGCCTTACTATCATCGCCCACAGATGTATTCCATACACCATAGACTTTGCCATTAACAGCATTGAGTAGTATTTTATCTACAAAATCCATGTAAGAGCAGCTATGTTAGTAGTACATCATCAAGAAGTTTCAAGATTGAACCTTCTCGTTTTTAAAGATACAAACTTCGTTCTTCTTTCATACCTGGTTTCGTAGTAGTGTTTGTTATTGGAATAGATGATACTTCTGCTGCTGTTGTTAATTGCGAGACTGTAATAGATGTTGCTGTTGTTGTTATTGATGATGATTGAGTTTGCTTCTTTTTAAGGATAACTGTTGGAATAAGAATACTTACGATTAGACTTGAGATAACAACTACCGATAACAGGACAAATAGAACTTTTCTATTTTGACAACACGATCTAGTACAAAATTATTTGTTTCTTTCTCGTGAATTATCACTATCTCAAGTACTTATAGGATGTATTCTGTTGTTCGGTAGTTTTCTCTGTTACTATATTGCGATAATCCAATTGAGACTAAAATACAAAAGATAATGAAACGATTTCATGTTCTATCAGTTAAAATCTTACATCACAAACCTGAACAACATTGTGATTGGCAATTGCGGTTTCTTCCGTATTCATATTCGAATACAGTAGATAATTTGAAATCTGCAAGGAATACATAATGACAATAGCATGGTAGAAAATATAACAATTATTACATCCACTTTTGAGCATACTGTAAGAAGATGGAACAATCCTTACAAATCGACTGTTGTTATTTCTCAGAATATCCGTCAGAATCAAAATACTTATGATCACTGCTGAAACAATAAATATGTATAGATGAACTATTGATCAGTATCTTATTGAAAAGAGTATATATCTGACTACACTTCTACACATGAAGACAACAGTATTCCTCTTGTGTTGTTTTGAAAAACATACAACCCATCGTCTTATTTTTGTCAGTGATCGCATCTGATTTAAAGCAAAGCTGCCTCTTTTTCTTTCTTTCTTTCTTTATCAATTCATCTTTAGGATATCGCATTCATTAAAGGTAAATATTGAATGAAAGTTGACCTGTCAAATATTTATAATGAATGACTTTCAATCGATTCAAGAGATTTTTATTTCAAGAGCCGGTATTAGCTGATTATCGTGTGTTTTAACTAGGAAACGATACAGCCATGCGTCAAGAAACGATTTCTTTCTACTCATCTTGGAATTTTATTCAAATATTGAATCTCCAGACGTGATTATGTGTCAGACCAATCGCATGAATAGGTGATGAGTTGCCTAAATTGACTTATAATATTGAAGAATATTTTTGTCCATCTGATTGTTGATTCCTTTAATATAAAAGATCATGCAATTGTTTGTAGATATATCTCTTAACAGGATAGAATATGGTTTCCAAGCAACAGATATAGTAAAAATAGAATTATCTACTCGACTGGATTGAGAAATTGTTTTTCAAAGTTAATGTATGGAAACTTTTACTTTAGCATTAGGATGCCGAGAACTTTTTTCTCGTTCTTTTTTCGTCAAATGAAAGGTCTAATTGAACTATCCTCTAAGCCAAAAATCTGTGTACTTGTAGGTGAGAGAACATTCTACGCGACACGTTCCCCTTCACCTTCAAGATTAGTTGAATACTAGTATTCAAGTATCAAATATACCTATAAATCGTTCTTTCATATAATATTTATAAGATCAATTACGATATTTAAAGTATGCAGCAGTAATAACTCCAGTACAAGCGAGAAGAGCAATACATCCATACTGCGCAAGTAGTAGTCCAAAAATGAACATGTATAGAATCTTTTGACAATAGTTTTCCGTATTAGACGGATCAAATTGAACTTTCGCTTTCAGAGGAAATACCCATATACTTCCCTATGGAAAAAAACGAGGCAGCATTAATATTACCAGAAAATCTTACATTTCTTACCATTATTAACCATGCAAGAAAGAATAATATTAGTAAACATAGAAGACATGCACCGATGCCTCGCCCAATTTTTAATCTTTCAGAGCAACATCTGAACGTGATCAAAGCCTAAAGGAAAAAGACGTTTTCTGGTTGAATAATCAATCAGAGATTTTACTATAAAAAAAAGCAAAAGGAATGTACCGGCACCCACAACTCCAAAAATAAATAACCAGAAAGAAATCCGTGGCTCAATCGGACAATCCGCTTTGTATATTTGACTGAGAACAAGTGCAGCTACTGGTAACAGAGTGAATAAAATAAGTATGATGAGTATTGCTATCTTTTTCTTAGTGAAATAAATCTCATCTGAATCTGTCGATATATCTAGTGAATATTGTGGTGCATCACGTGTTTGCTTCAATGGTGGTGATTGATCTGGGATTGGTATTGTTTCAGTAGGACTATCGTTCTCATTGCATGGTTTTATTTCAAGCATTAATCCGTAGATCAGAACAGCAGATCTATTTTGTGTTTTCCATTCTAACTCTTCGTTCGGAATGTGAGGACATATTTCTATTTGTTTTGCTCGAGCACCAACTGTTTCTGGCTGAACAGTAATGGAGTCTGCTTTTTGTTTGCATTGCAATACTACTTTGATCGTGTACATTCGTGAATTATTAGGCGATTCAAACGTATATGTATGAGCATAATATTCAAGTGCTGCGTAGGTTATCGAAGGAGTAGTAAACACGTAGTTCTCTCCAGGAATATGTCCTTCACGTATTTTTAATTTTTTTCCTGCCAAAGTCACATCGGAAGGTAGAAGTAATTGTCGATGTTCAACAGCAGATCTCGCATTTTCTATACTCGTTCCATGGTAACAATTAAGCCATGTCTTCCATACATTGTGGAACTGAGCGATTGGCTCGTCGACAGATACGGCAAAACGAGTCCATCCACGAGGAATAACATATTTATAGCCAGCGACTGTAAGCGTATCTGGAAGTGTAGATGGATAGCATCGCTTACAATAACATCGATTGTGAGCTTGCTGACGTAGAACAGAAGGCCAAGCGACACTTTCCAGATATTCGTGTCCAACGCGTAAATTTTCGCATTCACTTTTTGCCATTTATACAATGAAAAAGAATGGCATGCTGTTTCATTAAATAGTGTTTGTCAGAAGCAACACCTTGGTGAAAGCCAACTTCTTTAAAAATTGTTTGTTTTGCGATTCTGTCACGAGAAATTTCGAAAGAAAAGAGGTGAAATAATCTGAAACTGCATAATTCAATGAATACGAATATTTATCTAACAGTTAATGCGTTTACAAACATTATAAAGGATCACACATGGACAACAATTCTCTATGAATGATTTTGGATTCGTTCCTTCTTATCTTGACTCATTCCAGAATAATTGTAAATGATGTATTCATCCATAAAACATAAAACGAATTATATTCAAATAAAAAAGCAAATTAATTAGATATTTTTATTCTTTCCCTTTTGTAATCGAATGAATTTCTTTTATAGTACACTCAAACAAATTTCGGAAAATGATAAACCCTGTCATGCATACCATTTGAGAAAACTAACATCCGATTTATGTTGCTCGATCCCGAAAAGCATGATACGCCATTGATTTCTGATCCTTTGGATAATAACAACAAGGAGCAAACATTTTATCTTTGTAAGACTCTTTTCTGTAAGAGCGAGAATAAAAATAAAAAAGAATTTCATTTTTTGCTTCGGAGTTACTCAATAAATTTGTTATTTCAACATATTGTCATGTAATCATATATTTTTATCTGTTCTTATATGCACATTTGTGCGATTGTTATCATAACAGTACCAATAGTCAAGCCTAATTTAATAGTCAATGTAGCTAACAGTGACGTATCCAAGGGGAACGCAAATGGGCAATTACCCATCGAGTTTTTATTTTCATAGATCGATCGTTTTAACTGCCGAAACCGAGACATGAAACTTTCCTGTAAATTCTTGCACACTTCCTCAGCGGATTTTGTCTGATCTGTCTTTGTGCCTCGTATTCCAACCAAAGTATATCACTCTTCTGTAAACACCCACATCCATGAAGTACTTTGGACCATCTCCACCTTCTGTTGAAGCTCGACAATAAAAGTCAAACTCAGATTTCAAGATTCTAGCTTTGGTTCCTCATTTTACGTTTGCCTCTGGCAATTGGTGAGGTTTCAAACTTATGATTCTCGCTTGACGGAAGTCGAGCGCTGTATAGAATGATTCATTGTTCAATATTTTCTGGTGGCAGCTTGTTGTTAGTGTGACTTTGATAGGTTCTGGTATAAACTTGAGTCATGTGCGAACGATTCTTGTAACTGTTGATAGATTTGCGCTTACAGCGTGGTGAAAAAAGATCTTGAAATTTTTGAATGAGTCGGATTCCAGCGCGCTGATTTTGGAAGTAGTATTCCGCCGATTTCCTACGAAATACATGCGGGAAAAGGCTGGTAGGTCTTCGGCATCTAGTCGAAGGAACGGTTGATGCTGTCCGACTGAAGGTGTGACAGGTTCGTGTCGGTTTCAAATGAAAGCTGCGAAATCTTATGACTGGAATCGTGCACTAGAATACTTCTTCTACGATACGATCGGAAGATACAAGATATTTTCGGTTCGCAACCGAGTTTTTCGATCTGGGATAGAATGCGAACTACAAGAGGAGAAGATAGTTTCACCCAGGTAGAACACTCCTAGCTAACCGAGCCTGGATCGGGTTCATTCAGGATCCGACGATATCTGATAAAATGCTATAGCATCCGGTCAGATTATCTAGGGATTCCAATGTCGGAAGTCAATATATTTTCGATGAGTTCCGATCGGATTTATATGTTACCAGTCGGATCCAGCTGGTTCCTAACTGTCGCCGTTTTCGCCTGGAACCAATAGGAATTTTCCGATAAAAGCCAGTAAGAATTCGGCGGCAAAGAAATAGTAGGGATTGAAAGAAACCGAGCGGCAATGACCTGGGTTGTCAGAATTTTTACGTATACGTTTTATAGGCAGAGCTAAGTTCTGAGCAAGGTTGAATTCGAATTTGAAACGACGAAAATACAAAGAGTTAAAACAAGTAGCGCTCATCCGTTGGATTCGCTGGCCCTTTTCTGAAAGTATCAGAAAACTAGTAGATAAACGCTCTCACTTAGATCTCAATCTAACTGGCTTCGAACTGAAGTCACTTTTATGCTCATTCTTTCATTTGCTGCTTCATTCATGTTAGATTACTTTGAATTCATTTGCCCAAAGACGTAAACAAAAGGAATACCGCCTATAAAAATTTATTCATCGACTCTCTTCCGACTACTCTGAATAAAAAATCAATTTATTTTCACTTATTTTATCTCCTCTAAGCAATTGAAATAAACGCCTAGTTGTTCGTCGGCCTGCCTCCGGTCGACCACTCACCGCTAGCCGTCAACGTCGAACTTTGTGCCGTTGTGACTATCCAAAACAACATTTGTTAGAGGAAGTATTATTTCGAGTGGTTAGCAGCAGATAATGTTTGTGTAATATAGTTGTTTATATAATTGTAATGTTATCAATATGCTGATGAGTATGAGTATCCGTCAGGCGGACCTTAATCAGCCATTTCGTTTTGTTCTACATATTGCTGCTTCAAACACTATCGC